GTGAGGAAGAAGCTCAGAGGTAACTGGAGGGAAGAAATTTACATTTCTATCTGTTCAATAGATAATAATCTTTATAAAAAAAAGTGTAAAAGTACACTTGTGACATTGTTATGGTTTCTTTCTTCAACATCTGTAAATGTGTAAAAGCATTCTGTGGACGTATAGATGGCACATTAGCTGGGCCCAGTGTTATTAACACAGAGCAGTCATTCAAGTTTGTTTTCCCTGTTGCCTGGGCCTGATGCTTACCCTCCCTTTGGTGGGAAACAGCCCTTGGGCTGTTGGCTGATGTAGTGCTTTTCACAAATTGACCTCAATCTGAGAAGGAACACTAGTGTTTCCCTTTGAGTTTGATAACACTTGGGAACCATAGGAATTTTCATCTAGCATATGCTGTTAAAAGTCTCGGTGGTTCTATGACAATTATCTTAACTATGAAGACTTCTTCTACTCTGCTAGAGACCTGGGGATGCTTACCTTTTTAGAGGTACTTTCTTCCACTTTCTGCCCTTGGGGAAGGAGCTCTGGCAGCGTTGTACTTAAGGTACTTGACTGCTAACCAGAAGGCTGGCGGTTCAAACCCACCAGCGACTCCTGGGAAGGAAGGTTGGGCAATCTACTTCCATAGTGATACTGCCTTGGAAACCCAAGGAGGGGTCACTATGAGTCGGGTCTGACTCCAAGGCACATAACAACAACAACAACAACATCTGTCCTTGGGTGGTACTCATGGACTGTGCTTGACTACTAACCTAAAGGTTTGCTGTTTGGACCCACCCAGCAGCACCATGGAAGAAAGGCCTGGTGATCTTCCATAAAGATAACAGCCAAGAAAACTCTGTGGAGCAAGCAGTTCTACTGCATAACACATGAAGTGGCCATGAGTCAGAATTGGCTCAAAGACAGTGGTCTTGTTTTGTTGTGGTGGACTATCAGTACAGAAGAAAGAGTTTCTGCCAGTTTGTCCTTATCTAGAGACAAAGGGAATTGAAGGATTTGGGAGAGGAATTCTCAGCGTTCATTAGCATGTTAATGGGGTTAGCATGTTGGAGTGGTTAATGGGGTTCTTGGGCAAATCACAGAGCCTTGCTGTATTGGCATCCTCATCTGTAAGATGGGAATTTGGGGAATTGTTGTGAGGTTTGAATTAGATAATAGGAAAACACAAAACCCTATGTTGCATACAGAGACACACAAATTTTTCTCTTCCTTGTATTTCGTTCTGTGTCTCTCTCCATCAGATTGACTGTTATAAGACAGATACTGCATGATCTTATTATCCAGATGGATTTGAATAGGAGTTCATACCAGAAGCTTTTGTAGCACTAATGTTGAAAGGAGACGTGAGGACAGTGCACCCACTCTTTTCTCTTCTCTACAGTTCTTTCTTTGGAAAGTCTCTTTGTTGTTGTTTTGGATATAAAGTTCTATACTGGGCAAAATACTCCAGGCTATTAAATATACAGGGTGGAAATCTTGAATGATCACAACCCTGTATTTCTAACTCCTGGTAACTGATCACTTCATCCTCCTTTTCAAAGGATGGGAAGAAAACTAAAATAAGTCAACAGAGGGTCCTCCTGGGGTCTGATAGGAAGACTCTGGGTAGTACAAACAGTTAACACACTCACCTGCTGATGTTAAGATTAGAAGTTCAAGTTCACTCAGAAGTGCCTTGGAAAAAAGGCCTGGCAAGTTACTTCTGAAAAATAGGCCATTGAAAACTCTATGGCTCATAGTTCAACTTTGACACACATGGGGCTGCCATGAGTTGGAGTCGACTGAACAACTACCAGTGAACTGTATTATGGCAGAGAAAGGCCACACAAGTAGGCATCTCCTAAATGCAATGCTGGAGCTCTGGTGGCATAATACCTAAGGCATTTGACTGCTAACCAGAAGGCTGGTGGTTCAAACCCACTAGCCACTCCTCGGAAGGAAGACTGGGCAATCTACTTCTGTAGTGATACTGCCTGGGAAATCCAAGGTGGTGTTGCTATGAGTCGGATCCAACCCGACAGCAGTGAGTTTTGAGTGCGTTAAATGCAGTGCCACCAGAGAAAGGGCCATTATTCAATAGCTCTTTTCTGTTCTTCCCACCAAGAGAATAAGATGATGGGACTTCTTCACTGGCCTGTTGAAAGAGGCATTGAGATAGTGTCCTTAATGGAGCAGGGTTGATACTTTGCTCTCATCTTAGTTGGTATCAGTACTGTCCCTTAAATACTTTAAGAGTATCATATAACACTTTCAGGTTTTGTACTATATCTAAACTCCATTGCTGAGGATGAAACTTTAGTGTTTTGTTTAGGACTAGTGTGACTGGAAAAGGAGCTCTGGTGGCATAGTGGGTAAGGCATTTGGCTGCTAATCAGAAGGTCAGTGGTTCAAACCCACAAGACACTCCGCAGAAGGAAGGTGGGACAATCTACTTCCATAAAGATTTACAGCCTTGGAAACTCAATGGGGGTGGCTGTGAGTCAGAATCTACTCAATATCAGTGAGTTTCAGTGAGTGTGACTGGAAAGGCACTCTGGTGGCTTAGTGGATAAGGCATTTGGCTGCTAACCTGAAGGTCAGCAGTTCAAAATCCACTACCTTCTCTGCAGGAAGATGAGCAGTCTACTTCCATACTGATTTATAGCCTTGGATTCCCGGTGGAGGTCGCTATAAGTCAGAGGCAGAATCAACTCAGTATCAGTGGGTTTGTTTTTTTGTTTTTTTTGGTTTTTAGTGTGACTGGAAGGAACTCAGGTGGCGTAATGATTAAAAGCCAAATGCTGCTAACCAAAAGGTTGGTTACTCAAACCCACCAGCCACTCTGCAGGAAGAAACACCAGGCATTTTGCTTCCATAAAGATTAACAACCTTGGAAACACTACGGGGGAGTTCTACTCTGTCCGACAGGGTCGCTCTCAGTCAGAATCAACTCAATGGCAATGGGTATTGTGACTGAGGGAAGATGGAAATAAATGTGTGTTATATCTTTTTCTCCTTAGTGTTCATGTTTATTATAATATTTCTCTTGATCTAAAATGGAATAACAGACTTTATCCAACACTAACTTTTTAAAATCTGAAGCATTGTCAACAAGCTAGTAAATTAATGTGAGGCTAAAATGATTATTTTGGTATTTATACCTAAATCAAAAGTGGGAAGCAAGATTGATAGTAATGTTAATGGCTGTGTTTAATTTGATCCCAATAACTTTTCATAAAAGAAACTTTTTAGCTATAAACAGTGATCTCTTTTTTTATGAAAAGGAAAAAAAGTAGATTTTGTTTTATTTCAGTGGGAGATACATCATCAGTAGATATTTAATAAGTAACTGTCCAAATTATTTCATATGACTCAAGTGCCATTGTGTAATGTCACGTACAGTTGTTTTTTGAGACAGAGGAAAGCAAGTATGGACTAGTTCACTCCAGACCATTAATTATCTAGTCCTTCATAGAAGAAGTTTGCCAGGCAGCATCTGACTGCTGACACTTTGGTGGGGAAGCATTGAAGATGTTAAGTGTAAAAAGGAATTGCATCTATTATGATTTTATTTAAGTTGCCATATTGTATTATAATATGTTCTAGTCATCCATTCTGAACAGAGTCAGGTGTAGCTATGAAACGTTATATTTGTCCATTGTTTTATTTTTATATTATCAGTGATATATATATGCTTTATAAGAGTGCTTGCTACCATCTCTTCCATGAGGTATTATTCTTTAGAGGAAAACATTTTAGGAGATGAAAGCCTTCATTATGGTGGTGTGTTGTGTTTTCTTTATAGTGCTGTATCTGTGAGCCATCTGGAAGCCACATTTAAGTGATAATGTACCTGCATTGCACACAATGTTTAATGTTTTCATACCTTTTTCATCCATGACTCAAGTTAGCCCAGGAAAAGGCCAGTAGATTAACTGTTGCCTGTATTTTCACCGGCCATTGCAAAATCAACTCATCAGAATAATGAGGAGATACAAATGAGGTGATTCCTGTGTCTTGTGAAATATGTAGATAGTAAGTAAAACCTAAACACCAACTTTAAGCAGAAATATTAGAATATACCAGTCTGTGACCCAGGAAGAACCAGTCATTTAAAGATTACAGCATAATAACTACTGCTATATAAAGTCACTATTTAAATGGCCATGTGGACACTTCTGTTGTCGTTATGTGCTGTCGAGTTGGACCTGACTCACAGCAGCCCCTCTTTGGGTTTCCGAGGCAGTCTCACTATGGAAGTAGATTGCCTAACCTTCCTTCCGAGGAGTGGCTGGTGGGTTTGAAGCCCCAGCCTTCTGGTTAGCAGTCAAGTGCCTTAGCCACTATGCGACCAGAGCTTCTAGCTATGTTTAAAATACAAACCCTCTAAACAAAGTGTTAGAGGATGTTTAATAAGAATGTTACTAAATATTCAAAGTGAAAAGATTTTGTAAAGTAAAATAGAGAGTTTAAGGTTAATAACTATATAATAAATAATATGTAAAATCATATTATATACTTTATTTCTAGACTTAGATCATTTATTGCAAAGGGCATGCATCTGGTAATAAATTATAAACCAGTGCTAAATAAGTTAAGCATGAGCGTTTTAAGCATGAGAGTTTAGGAGCATCAGTTCCAGGTATGCCAAAGACACTGTAGCATTTAGTAAATTGTAACACGCACTGCAGATGTGATGTTGATAATAACTCTCAGTCTCCAGTAAGATACAATCTTATTTTGGGTTCATATTCTGAAACATATCTGAATCCTTTTGTTGTGGGCTTGTCAGTTCACAAAGCATACAGAATAGTCCAGTTGATCCTGCTCATGCAGGCAGGGTGAGAAACCTCTGTGCGTTTCCTGTCCACTCATGCCAGGGAAGGGACTCTAAACACCAACTTTAAGCAGAAATATTAGAATATACCAGGGATGTTTGCCAGGCGCCATCTGACTGCTGATACTTCAGTGGGGGAACATTGAATATGTTAAGGTTTGCCTTGTGGTTTCCTTTCTCTCAGGGCACCTGGATGATGATGGATTACCGCATGGCTTCTGCACTGTCACCTATTCCTCTACAGACAGATTTGAGGGGAACTTTGTTCATGGAGAGAAGAATGGACGGGGGAAGTTCTTCTTCTTTGATGGCAGGTAGCACACAACAATTTTTAAAAAATGTTCGTCGTTACGTTTGATACCTTAATGTTGATTTCATAGCTAGTGTTTTCCACATTCTACCTCTAGTTAAAAGTATTTTTCACTGTACAGTTCTTTTATTTTTTTGGTGGGGGCATGGGTGGTTCAACAGTAGCATTCTCACCTGCCATGAGGAAGAGCCAGGTTCGATTCCCAGCCAGCACACCTCATGCAGAGCCACATCTGACTGTCGTTGGAGGCTTGTGTGTTCCTGTGATACTGAACAGATTTTAGTGGAGCTACCAGACTAAAGTGGACTAGGAAGAAAGACCTGATGGTCTAGTTCAAAGATCAGCCATTGATAACATCACAACCAGTATTCAGGATGGCAGAGAACCAGGCAGTGTTTCATTCTGTTGTACATGGATCACTATGAGTCGGGGAACTGACTCGTGGGCAGGTAACAACAACTGGGCTCTTTTTGCTTTGCTTTGGCTTCTGTGTGAAGATGTAGTGATAGGTGGTAATATCTGTAGGATTCTTCTCTTTTGAGATGAGATGGGGTTGCACTGGCCAAGCTTTGTGACAGTGGCTTTTAAATTCAATCAACTTCAGAAACAAAGAGTGACCGTGAGAATGTTGTAAGCATTTACAGGAATTCAGTACCATGGGAAAGGCCAGCTGTTTTCAGACCAGTTTACTGGGTAATATAAAAATGGGCACCTAAAGCAGGTTATAGGATTCTGTGGGAGCTCTCTAAACCTTGGAATTCCTTTGGGGAAGGAAATGTCTAAGCTGACATCTGAAGGATAATTGCAGCGACTGGCATATGACCCAGCTTCCCTTTGATGGAGGTGGAATAGGTTGTTTTAAAAGATGTTAGCAGTTGCTTGGGCTCTCCAAATTATCTGCTATAAGGAGGAGGGTCAGGGAAAGCAATTAAAACCATCCATAGAACTTTTAAAATTTCACTTTGTGTATTTTTAAAAAATTATTTTCTTTTATTGTTGTTGTTGGGAATATACATAGCAGAAAATACACCTGTTCAAGTTTCTACATGTACAGTTCAGTGACACTGATTGCATTTTTCAAGTTGTACATCCTTTCTCACCATCCTTTTCTCAGTTGTTCCCCCTGCATTAATATAAACTCACTACCTTCTAAGGTTCCTGTGTGTAATCTTTTGAGTTGCTGTTGTCAATTTGATCCCTTGTAGATGGTTCTTAAAAGAGTGTGTTGCTCAAGGCAGACATTCTTTACTAAACTATTGTTTGGTTTTAAGGAAACTTTAGGGGATATTTTTGGTTTCAGGTTTAAAGATTATCTTAGGGCAATAATTTCAGGGCTTCATCGAGCCTCCATGGCTGCAGAAAGTCTGAAGTCCATGATAATTTGAAATTCTGTTCTGCATTTTCCCTCTTTTACCAGGATTCTTCTACAGAATCTTTGATCAGAGTGTACAGTAGTGGTAGCAGGGCACCATTCAGTTCTTCTGATGTGATAGCAAATGAGGCAATTGTTCATGGAGGCAATTAGCCACACATTCCATTTTCTTCTCCTGTTCCTGACTCTCCTTCTTCATCTGTTGCTCCAGGAGAATAAAGACCAATTGGTTCCTTGCAAGCTAAAAATTTCATTTTAATTCCAACCTTTTCTATTTTCCCTAACCCCTCTCAGCCTGCCTCTTTTTTTTTTTTTTTTTTTTAAACAGAGATTTGCCTATAAACAGTAATTTTAAAATTGTCAGGACTTTTACTTCCTTTCTTTTGCTCTGTTGTGAATACCTGATAGATACCTGAGTCCTATAGAAGCCTCTTTCAAGATGTGGTATCAGCCCTAGCCTTTTGTAATCTTTGAGTGTGTGTGTGTGTGTGTGTGTGTGATTTGAGTGAAATTTGTTTTTCCATACAGCAGTTCATTTTGTTTCATGACATTGATTATAGTCCCCATAATGGAACAGCTCTATTCCCACTTCCTCCCTGTGGTTACCTTTTCCCTGTGTCCTTCTTTGCTGTGCATCCCTGCCCTCTAAGCTATCTTCCTGTGCAATTACTGCCCTTCTGATCTCCCATGGTTGATTGGTCTAAGGAGTGTGCCTACCTGGTGTAAGTGTTCACCGTATACACCTGTCTTTTGTTTGGCTCTTGTGATCTTATAACCTGTCCAGAGGATATTTTTTCCTGCCTTATTTCCATAGCAGTTTATTTAGAGTGCTTTTTTGGAAAGTGACACTTTTTACCTCATACTATAATTATTAATTTATTCATTCAACAAATATGTATTTATGTCAATGTCTTGTTTCCCAGGACAGAGAGTTCCTTGAGGGCAGAATCCATATCTAATTTGTCTTCTATGTTTTGTAGCACCTTCCCTTAATTTGACACTTGAAAAAAAAAAGTCCTTGCTGAATGAATGTAGTAGCTGGAAGAGCATATAGAATTCACCCAGAATAAAGCCTCCCGACCCCACCCATACACATCCATATACACACATGCTTTCCAGATGAAGAGGTAGGGCTCGGATGGGGTATAGGAGTAGCTATGCAGCAGAAGTTAGTAATGGCAAAGCCAGATCAAAATCAAGTTTTTCAACTCCTGACCCATCACTCTGTGCTACACACAAAACCTATTGTGGGAACTGACCTAGCTTTGCCATATTATGCTTTTTCAAAATGTTGATCCTATCCTTGAGAGTTGAGATGCTAAAATTCTTCAAAGATGGTTTTATAGACTAATGAATATATATATATTTTTTTCAGAATAAGTCTAATGTTTCTTATATAGACTATCTAGAATTTATCCAAAGGCCAGAGTAAAGGATAGTTCTGTAAGGCAACTGTGGGTGCCTTCTGCTTTTAGCTTACTTAGTCCTTTACGAAGGAGCTCTGGTGGTGCAGAGCCTAAGGCATTTGACTGCTAATCAGAAGGTTGGCGGTTCAAACCTACCAACTACTTCGCATAAGGAAGATGGGGCAATCTCCTCTTGTAAAAATATACGACCTCAGAAACCCAAAGAAGGTCACTCTGAGTCGAAATCAACTCAATGTCCATGAGTTATTTTGAGTCCTTTAAGAATATTCAAGAAGTATTTCCCAGCCTTTTTCTTGTCGCACACAGCACACGTGAAAATTGATATTGCTTGTCTCCTGGGCTGGAGCAACTGTCCCCAAGAGCTCTGACAGCCCCAGACCCTGTCCAGCTGTCCTGAGGGAAGTTGGCACCTTCCCAAACCAGTAACCTGTACCTGGTATACCAGGGTGCTGGGCTTACCAGTTTGGAAGTTCTGAGCTGGAAAATGTGAAAGAAAGAAAACTTTTTAGTAGCAACTGGCCTCAGTATTTCCAGCTGGCTACAGAGTCCTCTCTGGGCCATACCAATAGTAATTAGCATGGGTCAGTTCCTTTCGCCTACTTGTTTCCACATGTTACTGAGCAAAGTGAGCCAAAAGACACTGCTAACATTTTTCTTTATGGAAGTCCAGTGTGAACTGATTCCCTTTTCTTCTCCTTCTTTAACAATCCATATTTTACATTGTCTGTTGGTCTGCTGACTATATTTTCCTAAACTGAGCAGGATTTTGGCATGCCTCTAACCAGGTGATAGCTGCTGTCAACATGACATGGTTTAAAACATGAAGAGAGATGGGGAATTTTAAAGGTAAAGTTGTGATTTCAATTTGATTGTTTGACTGATCCTAGTCAAAACTGAGCAACTCATTGTGAAAACAGTCTATCAGGTTTGGTTTAATGTAGCCTTGGTCACTGGCTAACTTCATAGTCCTGATACACAGTGTTTTGAGGCATGAGACCAAGCTCCTGAACCAGTGTGTCAAGAATGAGTTACAGGTTAGCCCCAAGATGCTGATCCCCTCAGCCTGAACAGTAGCCAAGTGGTGCCTGAGACTTCTCAACAACTCCTCCTTTCTCTGTCAAGCCACTCCTCGCTCCAAGCAGCTTCATCCACTTATCCTAGTGTGTTGTACAATTACAGTAATTGCCATGTGCTTCGTGACTTGAAAAAGCTGAACATTCGGCCAGAAGCACTCGGCCAGTAACTGTCTTTGGGACAAAAATAAATTCATTGGCTTTTTTTTTTTTTTTTTTCCTTTTGAGGGCTAATTTGCTAATTTTTATACCCACCACTAAAACACCTGTAGAGACAGAAGTCAAATAGTAGACTCAAAGAATGATAGTGTTAGCGAGGACCTCAAGAAGGTTCTCTTTGTTAGTCTTCTTCAGATAACTAGGGGCTAATACCATGGACTGCTAGAAGAACTAACAGATCTGTCCTGGAGGAAGTCCAGCCAAAATGCTCCTTAGAAGCGAGAATGGCCAGACTTGGTCTCACCTACTTTGGTCATGTTGTCAGAAGGGACCATTCGCTGGAGAAGGATGTCATGCTTGGTAAGGTGGAGGGTCAACAAAAGAGGGGAAGGCCTTCAACAAGATGGATTGACATGGTGGCTGCGACAATAGGTTCAAGTATAGCAGGGATCATGGAGGTGGTGTGGGATTGGGCGGTATTTCATTCTGCTGTGCATGGGGTCACTATGAGTCGGAAACGACTTAACGGCACCTAACAACAACAACAATACCTTGAGGGATTGTCTGGGTGATGCAAATGGTTAATGTACTCACTGCTAACTGAAAGGTTGGAGGTTCCAGTCCACCCAGAGTTGCCTTGGAATAAAGGGCTGGCAGTCTATTTCCAAAAAGTCAACCACAGAAAACCCTATGGAGCACAATTCTACTCTGACACACATGGGGTCACCATGTGTTAGTGTCCATTCAACAGCAGCTAGAAAAAATCCTTTGAAGGAAGAAAAGTCAGTATTGTTACTTCTATTCCAAATGATGAAGTAGGGTGGTGACAGGATCTCAAAAGGTCCTTATCATCTTCTTTTCTAAGCCCTATACTGATCCTGGAAGCTCTGGTGGCATAGTGCCTAAGGCATTTTTTACTGCTAACCAGAAGCCTGACAGTTCAAATCCACCAGCTACTCCTCAGAGGGAAGGT